ATATATTAATAATGTATTTTTTCGTACATAATCGGTTATCTGAAAAATTGATTTTCTGAACAACCCCAGTCCCCAATTGATTCAGATAATTGATGCTCTACTGTGATCATATTCTCACCTTAAGTAAAATTTAAATTTGTATTCACCATATATTGATCAAATGTTGCAGACTTCAGTTAAATCGTGATTCACATATAAATTTATCACTATTAATGATTTAATTATCATATAATATTATAGATTAGCACATACTCCAATTGGATTTGCCATTGCATGATAAATAACTTGAAACTTTTATGAGAGTGAAATTAGTCATTGGCACTGAAATAAATTTATATTCATTTCTTCTTTTCTGTCTTTTCATTGTTTTAGCTTTTAAACTTTTTCAATAAAGCAGTAACTGTTACTGCTTCAAAACTAATGCTATGCAAAGAATTTGTACAGATATGAAATGCATTGGACAAATCAGAAAATTTTTTAATACAGCTTCCATCTTACACCACTCATATTACTAGATTATGATCAATGATAACAGATGGATTTGTCATGAACTATTGCTGTAAATTTCATAATCTGGTATTAGAATGAATTTGTGAATAGAAAAAGCAACAGTGCTGAATCTGACTTTAACCTTTAAATTTTGAATTATGTAATTGTTGGTGAATATAGCTATTACAAAATTTCCACTACATAGTTCAAATTTTGCCACATGGTTATACTTTTAATCATTCTGACAAAATAAACCAGCAACTAGTGAAACGAACTGGTGAAAGCTACATGCCACAATCGAACACTTGCACTTATTGTAATACCATTTGGCAGTGCTTGTATGGGAAACTGGGATGATAAATATTGCCACACATTATTTTCTGTAATGTCTAGTCTCTGTTACCAAACTCATGAGAATGGTTCAGGTCCGCGGCTCTTGTAAATGGTTGTCCTTGCTAGACTGTGATAACTAGGACCATGAAGCAAAATTTCCAGCAAAGAAACACCCAAATTCAATATTCAAACATTTTTGGCCACTACTTTATCACTACTTCAGGAAATGTAAAACGAAAAAACCTATGTTCTATGTATAGAACGTAGCCGTCAGTGGCGTGCTGTGACATTTGATGATAGGGAAGCTGTTTTTCTGTAAGAAGCTGACTTCCACAGGCAATCAGTTAAATGCACATCAGTGATAGTCTAGGGTCCATTCATATTCATTTTGTTCAATAAGCCAGTAAAAACCGTATACTTCTTTAAATGTATTTTTAATATCACAATTACATTCTGAATCGCTAGCTATGATATAAGGGCTACAATTAAAATAAAATTAGAAAAACTTACTTGGTGAAATAAAATGTGTGGTGGATGTACAGTACTGTACATATCTGGTACAAAATATTCTTCAATTGTATGAATATACTTTTAAAGAAAATTATAATTAAATATAGCTTTGTAAAGAAATGTATGTAAAAATAACATAAAATCTTCTTTACTTTTTAAACTACACCACGAAACCCCAGGATGTGTTAAATACTGCACTCTTAGAAACTATAATCGGTGTGATATAAAAAGCAAAAGATAAAGATCACCACAAACATTTTCGAACTGTTGTGAGTTCTTCAGGTGTGAAACAGAATAACTGATGGGAGACAGAGTGAACCGTTAAGAAAATTCGAGAAACATTAGGTGTTACGTGAGATGCATGCATATTTGTCTGGTTGACATATCAACCTGATTTGTCAACCATGACTTTTAAGTTTGGAGTCCATCAAGGCCAGCAACAGAACCAACTCATCCTTAAAATTGATGCAGTTGTCATTGAGGGTCGATTTATAAATGTGGATGGCCTCTAGTGACTTAAGATGTTCAAGTGTGTGATGTAGTGTGTACAAGCTTTGCCTGGTGGAAGGCCGCCACAATGTCCGGGTCGGTGGTGTATGTGGCAAAGGTGGAAGTATTTCTCTTATGATGTATGTCTACTATATGTTCCTGAACTCTGACCTCCAATGTGGATCCGAGTGTAAACGAGGTCCCTATTAAACCTGTTGTCCCTAATGGGAATTCTCCTTGGAGGTCAGAGTTCAGGAACATATAGTGGACATACATCATAAGAGAAATACTTCCATCCTTGCCACATATGCCGCCGACCCGGACATTGTGAGGGCTTTCCACCAGGCAAAGCTTGTATGCACCACATCACAAACCAAACACCTTAAGTGGCTAGAGGCCATCCACATTTATAAATCAACCCTCAATGACAACTGCATCAATTTTAAGGATGAGTTGGTTCTGTCGCCGGCCTGGCAGGCATTGATGGACTCCAAACTTTAAGGTCATGATATGTCAACCAGATGAATATGCATGCGTCTCACATAACACCTTCTAATGTTTCTCGAATTTCCTTAACAGTTCACTCTGTTCCGTCAGTTTTTATGATAGTTCTGTTTCACACCTGAAGAACTCACAGCAGTTCAAAAACATTTGCGGTGATCTTTATCTTTTGTCTTTTTATATCACACTGGTTATAGGTTCCAGTGGCGTGCCATCATTGGAAGTGGTGGAAGTGCCGCTTCCCTTGTATTTTCTAAAAATAAATACATATTGCGCAATTATTTTCATATTTTAACATACTTTNCACACTGGTTATAGGTTCCAGTGGCGTGCCATCATTGGAAGTGGTGGAAGTGCCGCTTCCCTTGTATTTTCTAAAAATAAATACATATTGCGCAATTATTTTCATATTTTAACATACTTTAAAATTATTATTTTATTATAACCACATTATGTATCTTATTACAAATTTCTATACTACATGTGAAAAAAACAATAAGGTTGAATATCAGTGGCAGAATGGAAGTGCTGTATTGTCGAAACCGGGTCAGCTTCCAAACAGCCAGATTATAAGCATTCATGCATGCACTTTACAGAGCACTAACCTCACACGGTTTAGCTGGTGAAAGCTACATACATATAACACTTCCAATGATTCTATCCAGGACCAGTTCTGGGCTGTTAGCCGCTTGTCTGCTAGATATTTGGCCGCCCTCGCCCAATTATGTGAACTGTAAGTAGATTTATAACTTAACCCAATTGATAGGAATTTACTGGTATGTTTTTATGATAGTTCTGTATAGTTGATAGGAGTTAAAAAAAATCCATTAAAATATAAGATGGGAGAGTAGAAAAAAAATATCAAATATTACAATTTTGTATGTCACATCTATAAGAGGATGCAGAAAAACACTTGTACAATGTTAAAAAATTAACTGTTACTCTAGCAGCATCATTTACAACTAAATTTAGTGAATGAGAGAAGTGCACGAGGTACAGAAAAAGCTGTAGAATTTATTTTCCTTAAGTTTACGATTTATGTATCCGTTGTCATGAAAATTTGTCTTTCCACT